AGGGCGGCTGCGAGACACCTGCGGGGGGGTTGCGGTGGCGGGAACTTTCCGCGCTGCTTTGCCCCTTCGGCGCCCGGCAGACTTGGCGGGGTGGTGGGGGGAGCCCCTGGTTGGCACGCGGCGCCCCTGCCCCCGGGGCCGCGAGGGGACACAGAGCCGTTCCCGCCGGGACTGCTGCCCCCAGCCCGCAGGGGGGGGAGGGGGGTCTTCTCCTCCTTCTCAGCTTCACAGAGCCGGGAGTCGCAGCACGGGGGAGGATTGGGTGTAGGGGGCTCCTCGGGAGGTGCAGCCCCCTGCTCCGAGCTGCACCGTCCCCACCTAGCCCAGCCCAGCCCAGGGTCGGAAACCCCTCCAAGGATGCGGGTTCCCCAGCCCCCGGCTTCACCAGCCTCCTCGGTAGAGCGCCTTTGCGAATATCCGACCTAGACTTCCCCCGCTGCAACTCGGGCCCCGTGCTCCTTGTCCTGTCATCTGCCCCCACTCGGAACAGTCCAGCTCCATCCTCTCTGGAGTCCCCCTTCAGGGAGTAGTTGGAGGCTGCTATTAAATCCGCTCTCAGTCTTTACTTTTCCAGCCCTGGTGTCTGTGAAATCACTTCTGCAGACTAAATAAGCCCAGTTCCCTCAGTCTCTCCTCAAAAGTCATGTCCCCCCAGTCCTCTCACCATTTTTGTTGCCCTCTGCTGGACTCTCCAATGTGTCCACATCCTTTCTGTAGTGGGGGCCCAAAACTGGGCACCGTACTCCAGATGTGGCCTCACCAGTGCCTTATGGAGGGGAAGAATCACTTCCAGTCATAGATTTCATAGACATCAGGGCTGGAAGGGACCTCAGAAAATCATCGAGTCCAAACCCCCCCCCCCCCCCCCACACCGCGCCTCCCCCCCCCCCCCCCCCCCCAAAGGGCAGGAAGTCAGCTGGGGTCATAGGATCCCAGCAAGATAAGAGCTGCCTTGTTCTGGGCTCTAAAGGACTTGACCATGGACTCGAGTGCACCCATCCCTGTCCCTATTCTTCTGGCTTGAGACATTAAAAGTAAATTGGTTTCAGTGAGCACCTCAGGTCCTGGACCAGGGGTAATAGCTTAATTCAAGATCTATTTGAGTCCCTCTCTCACTAGGGGGGTAGTCAAACCCTGGAACAGGCAGGCAGGCTGCCTGCCTGAAGAGGTGGAAGGATAGCCAGCCTCAGAGGTCTCTAAGACTGGGACTGACAAAGCCTTGGCTAGAGTGAGATAGTTGGGGCTGGTCCTTCTTGGAGCAGGAGGTTGGACTAGATGATCTTCTGAGGTCCCTTCCAACACTCACATTTTATGAGTCTACTTTTCCCTCCCCTGCCCCTATATAGACACACCTTGAGGACTGAGGGCTTTAAACTCCCTTGCCATTTCTGCCTTGAAACTTTGTTTGAACCTTCAACTGCTTGAAAAGTAATTGACTTGGCTTTTGACACTGTTTGGTCAGGGAACACTTGTTCTGCTAGGATTCCAGGCATAAAGGTCAGTTCTTGGTTAACTGGCACAGGGCATCACCGTGGCATTTTGGTCTGATAAGAAAAGTGGGGTTTTTTTCCCTTCAATGCCAGTTGAAATAAAGCTGCTGTAACTAGGTTTGCAACTAGGTAGAAGCAATCCATTGTTTTTTCCAGTGTAAGAGTGATATAGCTGTGATAGTTCAGAAATGGTGTAAAAGGGAAGGATTTCTTAGGGTGAGACCAGTTACCATACTAACTGCAGAGTTAGGGTAGTTAGACAAGCTCTCTTTGAGGAATGTCTTGCATTAGAGTTAGACAAGCTTTCAATTTCAGCTATGCAGTTGGTCCAATAAGAGATACCTTCCTAAGAAAACCTTGCGCCTCACATTGATTTCAAAGGCATTTTGCTCAAGATATGTCTAAACTTGAACTTTTAATCATTCCTCTCTTTAATAGTGTTAATTAACATGGTCTATTTACGATAGACACCAAACAAATGTTTTTTCCAAGTTAGAGATGTGTTATATTTGTCACATCTATTGATGCACGTTAATACATTACTAAATCCTGTATGTACAGTGTTAGCATCCTTGTCAAGATTGGTCTGAAAACAGAGAATCACTGCTAGGGTCAGTATTGATTCAGGTGCATGTTGTTTAACTGTGCTGTGTATTCAGCATCGGTCCTGAAAACTGTGGTTAAGATGTATCAGAAGAAGAAATTCCTTATTTCTGGCTGCTGGAAGTCATGCTCGGCTACTTTCTGAAAATGTGGGCTCTCACTTGGGTGAAATTTTTGTTCTATAGTTGATTATATTTTACATAAGCCTCTGGTTCTTAAGGGAAAGATTGTCCAAGTCCACAAAGAAATGGTAAACCCCACCTGAATTACATATGGGACAACTTTTAGTACAACTTAAAACACTAGTACTATTCCAGAGGGGAGAAGTGTCTTTCCATTCTGTTTGTAGTCCACAATATTTCTATGGCTCTGAAATGACTTAAAGGTGATCCTTAAAGAAAGAAAAAGAAGCATCTGTTCAGCTCCTCTAAAGCGTTGCTTATTTGCTTTTGTTACAGTTTGTATAACTCCAATAAATTTTTAAAAATTACTAGAAAAGCTACTGTTGAACATTTGACACTTCTTTCCTTTCAGATAAGGGCTGAAAAGGCCCCCCAAGTTCACATGGTTTTAAGTCCTTGAAAGATTTCCAGCAAAACAAGACCAGACCAGATGTCGTATGACTAATGTAAAGAACCAGCAGGGTGTGTGGGGGGTGCCAATCCTACCAGACCGTCTTACACGTTGTAATGGGGGGAAGTGTTAGGGGGGGTGTTAATAGACTCCAATTTATTTCCACTACAGTTGCTCTTATTCTGATGATCAAAATGTCAGCCATTGTGAATAATTCCAGAGTCAGACTTCTATCATCCTAAAAATTATTTCACAATCGCCACATATTTTCAGGTTATGCGTGCCTAAAGCATTTATTCACTTGTTGAGGTGATTAAAGTTATTTGATTTGGCCTTAGCCTCTGGTTTGATGCCTAATAACACATTCAGTAATTGTCAACAGATGTCTGTCACTTTATGGGCTCCATCGTGAGGTGGTTTTAAAGGTGTTCATGCAGAGTTTTCTGCTTAACATATATCTGAATGGCCAGGTCCTGCATTTGAATCCCTGGGAGCACACCCCTGCACCTGCAGAAATCCAGTTGTGGAGTCTAGTCCTAAATGCAGTTCTGTCTCTTGAGGGGGTTTTTTGTTTTTAATGGCTCCCATTTTTCCCAATAGCTTTACACCTTGAGGGGGTTGTTAAATTTCTTGGGTGGACAAGGTGTTGAAGGATGCTTTTTGTCACATTTCTCAGTCTTCCCTCCTTGTTTGTGGTGAAGCCTTGGGGATATTACCTTTACATACCTGAGTAGGATTTAGGAAAAATCAAAGAGACTGCTCCCAGAGAATCTCTCTCTGCTTTTGCACTGAAACTAGCCCATGTTGGGATTAGGTTTTAGAGATGACCATTAATGTTCCTGATTACATAGTTTCTTGTGATGCCTCAGAGCTTGTCTGTGCGAAGAAGCTTGTGTAGAATAAACTAGGCTGTGAAATTAAAGCATAATAGCTATTTCCTATTTGGATGTTTTTTCTTTGTTTTAAGTAGATATTACTTAATTCTGCACTCCCTTTTGTGTCGAAGTTCCCAGTTATTTGTTTAAGGAGCTCCCACTAAACTGGAAGACTATCCAAAATGGCTGGTGCTCCTTGCTGTTCCTCTCTGCATCAAAAAAGATTATCAAGCCCATTGAGTTAACCTGTTTAAAACACACTAGTGTCTATAGCTAGCAACACTCGAGGTAATAGCTGGCCACCCTTGACTCGCCAAGTAAAATGACTAAAATACCCATTTACAGCTGGAACTAAGGGGCAACCTTTGGAGCAAGGTTTACATTAAAGCCCCTAGTAGTAAGATCCTTTATTCTGCTACTTCCACATCTCTCTTCTTTTTGTGTGGTTGTTCTCAATGACTTGCAGAACAAGACGAAGGCACAGTAAAACTGAATAGATAATAATAGCAGGGAAGCAAAATCCTGGGTCCACTTCCCAAACAGGAAACCTTTCATCTGCGTAAAGACTGTGGGATGGAGTTTTGTCTTTTTCTTGCCAAGGGGAAAAGAATTAGATATAATCTGCCCTGAAATAATTGAAATTGTTATGCCCCTGGATGGAGAAAGTACAAAAAGTAAAATGCAATTGAATGGGGACTACAATTTGAGAAGAGCCCAAGTGATTTAGGATCCTAGGTCTCATTTTCAAAAGGGTCTTTGGGTACTTACTAACAGGCTTTTAAAAGTATTAAGTTGGTTAGTGATGAAGACATGAGCCTATTGGACATTTAGGCTCTGATTTATTTTTATTTTTTTCAAGAGATATGTGGGTAGCTAACTCCCACTAAATTATTTATTTCTATGAGAGTTAGGTGCCTGATTGAGTTTAATTATCCTAAGTCACTTGAAAATGGAACTTAGGCTCCTAAGTTACTTGCCCACTCTAGAAAATCTTCCCTGATGGGTATCAGTTCCACTTTGAATGTCTTCTAACAGTAGCACAAATGAGAAAACTACAAGAACTTTTGGCCTGGCACCTCTCCAAGCATCTCGACACATTGCATTGCACTGAGCTTTTTATTTGCTTAATTGAGATGTCACTTTTGAGTTACA